ATGGGTACGAGCGATGTAATGGCCCCTGGAAGTAATGACAACGGCTGATTTCCTTAGCCCACGAACATGCTGATTCCCCGAGTGCGGGTGGCCAAATACCTGGGATTCAACACACTCTTTTGGGGAGCGGTGGTTGCGCTGACTGCCGCCTGTGTGAATTACGGCGGCCTTTTGGCTGTCCGGTTCCTGCTCGGGGTCGCCGAAGCCACTATCACACCCGCGTTCATGTTCATCACCTCGACCTGGTACACCCGGGATGAGATCCCCTTCCGAACGGGGATCTGGTTTTCGGGGAACTCGGTCGGAGGCCTGATTGCTAGCCTGCTTGCCTACGGCATCGGGCATATTGAGCATCCACTCCGACCGTGGATGTGGATGTTCATTATCTTGGGTGTTGCAACCTTTCTCTGGGGATGCGTCCTGCTGGCTTTCTTGCCAGATAGTATCTCCACCGCCCGGTTTCTGACTCCCGAGGAACGAGAGTTCATGAGCAATCGTGCCATCATTGCTGGTACAGGTCGCACAGAGCATACCACCTGGAAATGGGAGCAGGTAGTCGAGTGTATCCGAGACCCGAAGACCTGGCACCTGTTTGCTATTGCTCTCTTGACTCAAATTCCGAATGGAGGTACTCAGAATTTCGGGAATCTGGTGATCAAATCATTTGGTTTCACGTCTCTGCAATCCACGCTGATCAATATCCCAGCCAGTGTGATCAGCGCGGGAACGATCGCCGTGACCGGATGGCTGGCGAGTCGTTCCAACAAGCTGAACTGTATTCTGATCGTATGCGTGATCATCTTTCCCATTATTGGAAGCGCGATCATCTACGCCCGCGCACACCATGTTCCCTTGGGAGCGCAACTATTCGGGTACTTTCTTCTTTCAACGGGTCCTGGGGCACTGCCACTTGTGATGTCCCTGTTGCAGAGCAATTATCGGGGTGTCACCAAGAAGATGACGATGACAGCTATGATGTTTGTCGCTTACTGTGCAGGTAACATTGCCGGGCCGCAGCTGTTCAGGACCAGTGAGGCACCCACGTACCCAACATCCTTCCGCGCGATTTTGATCTGTTATATAATTGCTGTTGGGCTAGCCATCTCGTTGCGCTTTTATCTGCAATGGCTGAACGCGAAGCGGGACCAGGACGAGGGCATCCAAGGCAGTGCAAGTTTAGCTGGTGCAGTGGGAGGGAAGGTCGCCGGCGAGCAGCGCGATGGGACGGACGTTTCGGTGCTCGTACAAACTGTGGAACTGAACCCAGCGGACTATGAGGACGTGACCGACTGGAATACGGTCGGGTTTCGCTATCGTCTATGACTTCTCATCAAATTCTGACGAAAGAGTCGAGCCAACCGACAGGTGCCTTTGAGTGAGTTTCGCCGGTAGACCAAGGTAGGAACAATGCTGTAGCTGCGGCTGGAGGCCTGCCATGGAGTAACTGAGCCGGGGTGAATGTAAGGGCATCAGTGCATATTTCCTATTGGACTCCAAGCACGAGCAGGCAGACAGCCAGTTCCCCACAGACTATAGCAAAGAGTAAGGTAGAAACAAGATCAAGTTCAAGGTTGTACGTAGAGGAGGAGGAAAGTGGCAGATCAGGGAAGGCCGGGGTTGCTGCAGTGCAGTCCACGGTGCCAGCGGGCAGTCAGTCGTTTGTCGCGTTTGTTTACCAACACCAACCAGGCAGTCGAACACCATCGCGGGCGCTGGGAACATCACACTGAGCAATCAGTATTGCGACACTTACAGCCTTGGATATCATGTCAGCTCCTTCATCGTCATCACGTACTTCTAAGCCCGTGTACTACACAAATGTGAGAATGATTATTACCCCTCTTGTTGAGAGACCTTGATCTTGGCTGCCACTAGCGTCGCGTTTCTTCGGGGCTATATCATCAGCAGAAAGGCAGGTTGCGACACGCTATCCCCGTTGCTCGCCATAGCATTACCTATAGGTGCTGAGTGACTAATAGCCGAGCCAGAATCTTGCACAGAGTCCAGATGCTACGAAAAGCCGATGACGATAGCAGAAGTGCCACCGATGATGGCTAAAACTATCGAGTGATTGCTCGGATTCCGACGGGGCCCCGAGAGGGGATCGGCAGGGGTTATTGAACTCATGCAGAGAATGACATGATAACCACTTCGCTTCTCCTCTCAGTCAACCAACAAGCGTAGATCAACACAATACAAGTCACACAACAATGCATCTGGCAGGTTCTGCGCGGTGGTTGGGTTAATTTCAGTGGTCAATGATTGTCTCCCGCGGAAACACAGCGGATGTAACCTTCATCTAAGTGTTTCGAGGCATTGCCGCAGACGGACTGATCGTCGCCCATTCGAGCTTGATCCTGGCAGTGTACGTCCCATGGCTTGACACCAGCTGCACAAGATATATTATCATGGATGGTGCCAAGCTTCGTTGAAGCAACACATCTGGCAACATTTGGCCTTCCCCGCCCGCCTTCGGGATTATTTATTTACGGTCGCCCAGGGTGTCGCACAAGAATCTCCCATCCCAAGTTTGCAATTGCCCTCTGCCCAGCTTGCTGCGATGAAGCTTCTTGCCACTTCTTGGCTGCTGTCCACCTTGTTGGTGGGCGTAGTGCAGGCCGTTCCCCATGCACAGCGAGACACAGTGTCCAAGGTTGTCAAGAGGGGAATTGAGTACACTGTCTACCATCATGCAGCTACCGGAGCAAACTTGGAGATAGTCAAGAACTCCGGAATCTGTGAGACCACACCCGGGGTCAATCAGTACTCAGGCTACCTCTCAGTAGGAAAGGACATGAACATGTTCTTTTGGTAGGAGATGCGATCTTCGTCCTGGTTCTCACCAAGCTCACGGATCGCCTTAGGTTCTTCGAAGCCCGCCGAAACCCCAAAACGGCGCCTTTGACGGCTTGGTTCAATGGTGGGCCTGGTTGCTCGTCTATGATCGGATTGTTCCAGGAGCATGGACCGTGTCGATTTGTCAATAACGAGACGACGCCGTCCTTGAACCCTTACAGCTGGAACACCTACTCCAACATGATCTACATCGATCAGCCCATCGGGGTAGGATTCTCGTACGGTAACGATGCTGTGAATAGCACAGTCACGGCTGCACCATTTGTATGGAAGTTGCTGCAAGCATTCTTTGCCCATTTCCCTGAATATGAGAGCCGCGAATTCAATTTGTTCACCGAGGTATGTTGACAAGCTAAGTGGTTTGGTGACTTCCTCCAGAGATCTGATAGCACTGCAGTCATACGGTGGTCACTACGGCCCTGAATTTGCTCACTACATCCAACAACAGAATGCCGGGATCAAGACGGGCGCTGTTACTGGCGAGACGATTAACATCGGGTCTCTCGGCATCAACAATGGCTGGTTTGACTCCACGATCCAAGAGAAGGCTTACATCACCTATGCCTTGCAGAACCCCTACCGCCCCTTGATCAATGCCTCTGCGGGGGCCAAGTACTACAAGGACTACCAGGATTACTGCGTCCCAGCCATCCAAGCATGCACGACTTTGGGGACCAACGCCGCGTGCATCAAGGCCGGCGACATCTGTGGCGACCTGATCGACGACCCGATCATGGAAAGTGGCGATTGGGATGTCTATGATGTGCGCGAGCCTTCGGATGACCCGTATCCTCCCGAGACCTACTATTATTACCTGAACAATGCGGCCGTGCAGCGTGCGATCGGAGCACGTCAAAACTACTCCGAATGCCCCGATGCTCCGTATTACAAGTTTGCTGCCACAGGTGATGGTATGTAGACACCCTTGGCTCTTCGAGTATGTACTAATGATGGTTCACTAGGCACGCGATCTTTCCTCGCGACCCTCTCCGACGTGGTTCAGACTGGCATCAATGTTCTTCTCTGGGCCGGTGATGCGGACTGGATCTGCAACTGGATTGGCGGGTTTGGTGTGGCCAATGCGGTGGAGTTTGCAGGCCAGACGGCCTTCCAGAACAAGACTCTCCAGCCCTACAAGGTAAATGGGACAGAGAGGGGCACGTTCAAGACGGTCGGAAACTTTACCTTCCTCCGCGTGTATGAGGCTGGTCACGAGGTTCCCTACTACCGTAAGTCATCACTACTACCTAGGTAGCCATTCCGAGGAAGCTTCGAGTTATTGACTTGACTTTTTTATATAGAGCCGGAGACCGCCCTTCAAGTGTTTTCCCAAATCATCAAGAAGGTGCCTCCGTTTTCAACTTGATGGAGCGGTGAGTTCAGAATGGCCGCATCCAATGTTATCGGCCAATGCAATGATCACAGTGGCGGCGCCTCGCGCGCAAGTGAACTCGAAGTGAATCTACTCGATTTGCAGAGGCGGGGAGCCAAGAGATTCCGCGTCGGACGGCAAAAGTGTGCATATTAGCCGACCGATATTTTAGCAAATACTCTCCACAATATGAAGGACGGAGACAAATCCTGCGATGTTCTCGATAGAAGTTTGAAGTTCATACTCCCGTTCTGCGGTATGCTTTTTGCCAGTTGACGGAAAATCATTGGCGCAAGGGACGCAAGGGCCATGGTAGAAAGAGGAGTAGATGCAGTTCATGAGAAGCCTTGCTGCGACTGTGATTGAGCTCGGAGTCGATATATGCATGCTGCGCAGCGGTCGGCGACTCGCTAGTATATCGGCGACTGAGCTGATGCTGATTTGAAGTCTTTTGAAATCTCCAGCAAGGCGGTGGGCGGCAGGCGCGCGACGCGACCATTGCGCATGGCGCCGGGTCAGATGAGCTGGGGTCAACGTTCCAGCCCTGAAAAAGCAATAGACTGCTATGACTAATGAATTGACAATAAGTCTATAAACTGACGGAGTATAGGTAATTAACTATGAAAGATGAGTCAGGGGCGGCTGAGAAGTGGTTGACTCACAGATACGGAGAAACTACGGAGTACGGAGTAAGGTCCACGTCTACAGTAGTAAGATACAGTTCACCTCCGCATCAGAACAGAATACAGTCGACAAACTACACTCAACCTTATCTATCTTATCGAGTTGTTGTCCATCAGCCCATGTTTCTGAGACTCTAACTACAACCGGACTAGTGGCCCCGAGTAAAGTGGACTCCATCCAGGGTTCAGTCCGTTCTGTTCAGCCTCGGCCAATCTCTACAACTTTCGCCCCCACTTGCAGAATGTCTCCCCGGCTCCAGGCTCCGACCATGAGTCAATCTTTTTGCACTGCCTGACTTGCTTACAGATCTCACTTTTCCCCCGCGCTCTTTCGATTCCCACCCGTGGATACAATACATATCTGGAGTCATCTTCCATGATTTGGTCCTGAAAAAATAGGCAGGACTTCCGAGCTTCCGAATAGCTTCACCATGGAAAAACCACTCCCCGTCGGCTACCGCTGGCGCTCCTCCCGCTCCTTCATCGTCTTCACCGTCACCGTCGCCTTGTTCGCCGAAACCTTTCTTTATGGCTTCCTCGTCCCCATCCTGAGCTACATGATCGAGGTGCGGTTGGGAATCGACCCGTCCGAGACCCAGCGCTACATGACCACCTTGTTGTCCATGCACGGCTTCCTGGGAATCGTGGCTGCCCCGATCATCGCCCACTTCGCCGACAAGACCCCCAACCGCAAGATCCCTTTACTGCTGGCCCTGGGTGGATGCTTCGTTGGGACCGGTCTAGTCGCTTCGACTCTCAATGGTGAGTATGATCTAGATCCTTGATGTTTCTCCATCGCAATGAGGCGGCGATGCTGACGGCTGGACAGTGGCCGCGCTTTTCGTTGGGCGCACGATGCAGGCGATTGCCGGGTGTGCTGCCTGGGTGGTGGGACACGCCATGCTGACCGACCACATCGATGCGGATAATCTGGGGAAAACATTGGGGCTCGCGATGACTTTTGTGACGGCAGGAATCATCTCGGGACCGACCGTGGCGGGAGCGATGCTGGAACTCTTTGGATACTGGGCGGCCTGGTCGGTTCCTCTGGTCGTGCTGGCGGTGGACATTATCGCCCGGTTGATTATGCTGGAACCCGATCGATCCAGCCCTGCCGCAGCTACGACGCAGAATGAAACCACGGGTCTTCTGTCGGATAGCTCCGAGGGTCAACCGACCCAAACGGACTCGGCTCCGACCAGCACCAGCACCACGCTCACCGATGCTTCCTCCCCTCGCCACTTCTACCAGATCATGCTGAGTGACGGGCGGGTTCTGGCCGGCCTGGCGAATACCTTGTTGATGTCCTCGATCTTCTCCGGCTTCGAAGCCACGCTCCCGCTGCACCTCCGGGATGTCTTCCACTGGGGCAGCTTGCCGACCGGATTGATGTTCTTCTGTCTGCAGATCCCCTCGTTCTTCCTCTCCGCGGCCGCCGGGTGGATGCGGGATCGACAGGGACTCCGCAATCCGACGGCGCTGGGCTGGTTCATGTTGGCACCCCTGTTGTGGCTGTTGGGGGTGCCCGGCGACGACAAGTTCCCCTGGGCGAGCGCCGACACCAACGGCAAACCGATCTTCGTCACCACCATGCTGGGTTTCGGTCTATTCTCCATGTTGGTGCGCGGAGCGGGTAGTCTGCAGGTTACTTGTGAGTGCGATTCGATTTTTCCCATTATTGTCATCTCTCTCCCATGGCATGTGCTAACCAAGAAAAAGGGGTCGTGAAGGAGGAACAGACCAAAGATCCGCTCATCTTCGGACCGCATGGAGGCAGCTCGCGCGCCTTCTCCATTGTGGAAATGGCCTTTGGGACCGGCTCGATGGTCGGGCCCTTGATCGCCGGGTCTCTGTCCGAGACCGTCGGCTATTATTACTCGACCACGGTGTTTGGTGAGCGTTTCCTGTTCCGATGGTGCATGAACTGACAAGCCGCTAACATCTTCTCTGCCTTCAGCCATCACCTGCCTCGCGCTCGCCGTGGTGACCTACAAACTTTTCGACAGCAAAACTGCCAAACCTGCTCGACCGGCGGATTCGAACGCTTGACGAGCTAGACGTGCGTGCATGGATTTTTTTAAGACGACAAGCATATAACATAGACGACGGAGATGGAACTAAAAGTTTGTTTTGGCTGCATGGGTATCTAGATGCATAATGAATCTGCCTTCTTCGTCACTCATTCTCGTGCAATGTAGTCGTGGTGAAAACGGAAATAGAAGAAGTCAAACTCCAGACGCCCTAGTGTAGTATCATAGTCTCACGACAACCGAGCATACGCGCAGTCTGTGCGTTACCGCAGTGGAACGTGCGTTTCTTCGTCGAGATGGCCCAGGATGCCATCAACGGGTCGCGATGGCCCGGGCGGAGGGCGGAGAGCCTTGTATGCCCTTGACTATGCCCTTCATAACAACTGGGAGACATTGTGAAGTATCCTCCTTGCTACGCCTCAACCAGCGAAACAATCATCCCTCGCGAGCATGCGGCAAAAATAAAGAAAACCCGACCGGTGCATATCGAGGGTCAGGTCAGGGTCGCGGCATGAAGGAGATTCGACAGTGTGTTGCAGGGTGTAACAGCCGGCTCGAGCGTTGAGACAGTGTCGGATTCCGCCCGAGACAAGCTGAGAGCGGATCAGGGGAGGATGTACGCCGTACGGTAGGTAAATATCCTCATCACTACTATTTCCGGGAGTGTGGTCTGTATTCCGGGCTCGGGTTTGCGACACCCCGGGTATGGAGAGACTTCCTGTTTACCTGGGCTTGGGGGGTGGTGCTTCAACTTCAAGGGGCGACTCCACTTGTCCACTTGTTGAAGAGAATGGGGTGTATGGAGGAGTACGGAGTACTGCAGCTGCAGTGAATGTAGGTAGTAGCCCTTAAAGGGGGGAGGGGGTGTAAGTTCAGTTCCAGTTAATCTTCCCTCCCGATCGGAGTGAACGAACACCACCGATATGACGGCGATATGACGGCTCTTGAGGAGTCTGCCTGGTTGTTTGTGAGTGACTGAGGGTGGATAGAATCACCCATATTAATAGAAGTTTTGCCAAGGTCTAATTGAATTTTGACCGGCTGGAGTCTGGGCGCAATCAAAGTGGATCTGGAGGTTGGAGCGACTGAGAAGAGGAAAAAAAAGGGGGAAATAGTGAGGGGCCAAGCATCTGAAACCTCACCATTCCGCAAAGGAATGTTGCTGGGGTTCACTGGGTGTTTCATTTTCCCCTTAGAACGGTTTGCCAAGTCCCCTTTTTCCCAAACCTTTTTTCGTTTTCTAGAACTGCGATCCATCCATCCACCTTCCCCTTCTCTTTTTCCCCTCCTGATTTTCTTGGGTCCGTTGGCGTGTCTTCCCCCTCCTCCAGGCTCCTTCAAATCAACTCTCTTTCTCTCCCGGACTGTCCCTTCGCGCATATACATCACACCAGCAGCAGCAGCCCAGCTACAACCAACAGGAGCTCTTGATCCAATGGCGTCGCACCACTCCCTCCTACACCTTGACTCTAAAAGAGCGCTCGCCGCGATGGCTTCCTCGCTGCATCTCTGGACCCGCAGCGACTGCGACTCGAGCGACAGTACTTGCGGGGAGAAGCCCGTCAGCAATTTCCTCAAGAGCGGTGTTCCGGGCATTGTCACTGGCGTGTAGGTTTTCTTCTTCTTCTTCTTCTTTCTCGTGCGAAGATTCAGCTGCCTTGAGGAAGACCATCAATTGATGTCGACTAGGATCGTACTGGGTGCTATCGTGGCGTTCATCGTCCTGCATGTCCGCAACAAGAAACGCGATGCCCGCGAAGATCAAGAGATTCGCAAGTGGAACGAGGTCAACGTATGACAACGCTGCCTGTCCTACCAGCCGATCTCCCCGCGACGATGCTATCATGCTGTCCGTGGCGGGGAACCTCTGGCTTCTCTTTCTCTCACATACAATCTACATACCCCTTTTGCACACACACTCTCTCGTGTTATGATTGGATTTATCTGGCTTTAGTCGTGTTCTTTGAGCTCCGTCGCATTTATTTTGGTTTCTACATTAAGCCACTGCATGACCGCCCGTCTCGTGGTCACAACGCCGCGCTATCGAAATGGTTTGGCATCTTGGATCTGGGTTTATTGGTGTTTGCTTCGTTTTCCGGCGTTGGGTTTTTCGGTCTTGGGTCTCAGGTCAGCCAACATGTGCTTGGTCCCTGCTTTCGGTTGATGGTTTGGTCGTGTTGATTTTCTACTTCGACATTCGCGGGCTGGCCGGCTGGACGAATGCGTCCGTCAGTCCGCCGGCTTTGTACCATATTGAGACCGGTCTGTGAAGCAACTCGTCGTTTTGCAGAACGGGCGCTCTACGCTTGTACATAGTTGTATTGTATATTCTACCCTGACCGGCATGGGCCATAAACCAAGCTCTGGTCCATTTGACGATCCTGATTTTGCTGGTAATCATCTCTATGTCTTTGGGAGAATATACGTGTGGTGTGATGTGCTGTTGATGGGTCCGCGTGCGGACTGCTCTGGAATGCGCGTCCTCCGGATGCGGAGACTACCCCATGATTCCAGCACGCCGGAAATAGACGTGGATGGACCACCAGGAATGTTGTGCCATGCTCGGACATTCCGGTCGACCTGGGATGACAGCCCACTCGGAAGGGACCGCAGCTTGGGACTGTGCCTGCGGAGTCTGGGGATGTGGGGTACCTTAGTACCTTAGTTGGCGACCCCAGATCCAAGGCCTCTTCACTAACACGTGACATCTGTCACAACCCTCCAATGTCAAATGTGAGTTTACTCCAAGTACGACCCAGCCAGCCTGACATCATTGTTGATCTTGTATCCTACAAGAAACAATAAGGTGGTCGGAAACCCCGCGGATAAATTGGACCCCTCTTGCACTAGCATGCAGCCAGCAGCCTGAAGTCCTCTGATTAGTGGGATAGACACTCTCCGCCGCAGCCCTAGTCGCGTAGGTGCAGACCAGAGCTTGCATGATCATCATCCGTAGCTCGCCTTGTATTCTCCACCTGCTTAAATAGCAGCACTCATCACCCAACACCCGCGCAATGACCCAATCCCAATGGTATCACGTCTACAGCTCTCACCATGCACCCCCTCAAACTCCTGCTCCCCCTTACCCCCCTCCTCCCTTCCACCCACGCAACCCCGCACTTCAACCCATCCACAGTATCATGGCACACCACCCCCGCCACAAACTTCACCACCACCCTCCCCATCGGCAACGGCCGCCTCGGAGCCGCCGTTTGGGGCGGCCCCACCCTCGAGAACATCACCCTGAACGAGGACAGCCTCTGGAACGGCTCGTTCGTCGACCGCGCCAACCCCGCGGCATACGGGGCGTTGGCGCCCGTGCGCCGAATGCTGGCCGATGGCGAGATCACCGCCGCCGGCCAGCGCACGCTGCGCGATATGGCGGCCATCCCGGCGTTGCCGCAGTCGTATAGTGCGTTGGGGGCGCTGCAGTTGGATTTTGGACTGGAAGGAGCAGTGGAGGTGGGCAATTATACGAGGGCGTTAGATCTGCGGACGGGGGTTGTCGAGGTTGGGTTTGAGGTTTTGGGGGTGCGGTATAGGTGAGTCTGTTTCTGCTCCTGGTTTGGGATATTGGGTGTGGGGTGTGGGGATGGGGTATGGATATGGCAGTGGCAGGGCTGACGGGCGTAGGCGCGAGTATGTGGTTAGTTATCCGGATGATGTTCTTGCGGTGAGGCTTTCGAGTAGTCGGGTTGGCGCGTTGAATGTCAGTTGTTCGTTGGAACGCGCGGTGTTTGTGGTCGAGAGGAGTGCGAGTGTGGATGGTGAGGGGGTGGGGAGGTTGGTTTTGAAGGCGAACTCGCTGGAGGAGGAGAGGGGGCCGATTCGGGTTGCGTCTGAGGCGAGGATCGTGGCGTCTGGAGGTGAGGATACTTGCTATATGGGGCTGGGTTGTTGGTGCAAATTGCTGATGCAGATTGTAGGGCGGATTGAGGCCAACGGGACCTCGATTGTCGTGCAGGGCGCTACGACGGTGGATATCTTCTTCGACGCGGAGACCTCCTACCGCTACCCCTCGGCGAGTCAGCGCGAGGCGGTACTCGAGCGGAAACTGCAGAATGCGGTCAACCGAGGATTTGACACTGTCAAGCACAATGCTGTCTCCGACTACGTCGCACTCTCCACGCGAGTGGACTTGGATCTCGGGTCCTCCGGCGCCAGTGGCCATCTGCCCACGGATACTCGATTGCTGAACTATCAGCACAGTCCCGACAGCGATCCGGAACTGGTGACGCTCATGTTCCACTTCGGCCGACACTGTCTGATCGCCTCGTCGCGCCGCAGCGCCAACGCCCCATCGCCCGGCCTCCCCGCCAACCTCCAGGGCCTGTGGAATCAAGACTACGACCCCGCGTGGGGCGGCCGCTTCACCCTCGACATCAACCTCGAGATGAACTACTGGCCCGCCCAGGTAACCAACCTAGCCGAGACCTTCACCCCTTTCCTCGACCTGATGGACATCATCCTCCCTCGTGGCCAGGCGGTGGCGCGCAGCATGTACCATTGCGACAACGGCGGGTACGTGCTGCACCACAACACCGACCTCTGGGGGGACGCCGCCCCCGTCGACAACGGGACCACCTGGACCATGTGGCCCATGGGCGGCGCCTGGCTGTCCGCCAACCTGATGGACCACTACCGCTTCACCCAGGACACGGCCCTGCTGCGGGATCGCATCTGGCCTTTACTCCGCAGCGCCGCCCAGTTCTACGAATGCTACCTCTTCCCCTTCGAGGGCTACCTGAGCACAGGACCCTCCATCTCCCCGGAAGCAGCCTTCCTCGTGCCCGACAACATGTCTCTCGCCGGCAGCGCCGAGGGCATCGACATCGCCCCGACAATGGACAACTCCCTGCTGTACGAGCTGTTCCACGCCGTCCTCGAAACCTGCACCATCCTCCACCTTTCGTCCATCGAATGCACCCGCGCCAACCAGACCCTCGCGCGCATCAAACCCCCACAGATCTCCCCCGCCCGCCGCATCATGGAATGGCGGCTCGATTACACCGAACAAGACCCCGGCCACCGCCACATGAGCCCGATCGTCGGCCTCTACCCGCTCGCCCAGCTCACGCCCCTTGTCAACAAAACCCTCGCAGCGGCCGCCAAGGCCTTCCTGGACTGGCGCATTGACAGCGGCAGCGGGAGTACCGGGTGGTCCCGGACGTGGACGATGAACCTCTACGCCCGGCTGTTCGACGGCGAGGCCGTCTGGAACCATACCCAGATCTATCTGCAGACGTTTGCCAGCCCTAATCTGTGGAATACGGATTCCGGGCCCGATACCGTGTTCCAGATTGATGGGAATTTCGCGTTCACGGCGGGTATCGCCGAGATGTTGGTGCAGAGTCATGCGGGCGTCGTGCATTTGTTGCCCGCATTGCCGGGGAAGGTGGCGACCGGGTCGGTGAGCGGGCTGGTGGCTAGAGGGGGGTTTGTGGTGGATGTGGAGTGGGAGGAGGGGGGGTTGAAGGAGGCCAGGATTGTTTCGAGGGCTGGAGGGTCTTTGAGGGTTAGAGTGCAAGATGGGAAGGGGCTTAGGGTTAATGGGGTGGTTTACACGGGGGTGGTGGAGACTGTTGTTGGGGGTGTATATGTTGTTACCTCTGTGTAGGTGGAATGGGAATGGCAGATTTGGAGTGGGAGATGCATGCTTGGGAATGGAGATGCATCTGAGACTATGTACCTCTTACAAGCTTCTTTATAAGCTTTACTGTTCGGCTGGTGGCAGAGAGAGGAATTATTCACCCAAATGAAGGTATACAAGTATAGCCACACCACAACCAAATGCAATTCATGGAAACGAACATTAGTGTCGAGAATGTACATGTGGTCATCGACCTAATATATGTGCAACATACAGCTCATTATCAATTCAAGCGACACAATCACAACCGACTGGACTTCTGCCAGGCCCGCTCATCAGGTGCATCCTCCGCTGCTGTTGCAGGCAATTCAGGCCCCGGCAGCCCCAGGGTCCGCGCGACCTCTCGCGCCGCCCAGAAGCCCGTCACAAACGCCAGGGCCAGCCCCCCCGCATACCCGCGGTTACTGAAACCTCCCGCATCGACACCAGCGATCAACAAGCCGGGGATCGCTGTTCTATCCGCGCTGAGAGCACGGCCCCGCGTGTCGATCTGGACGCCCCCATATGTGAATGTAATCCTATAGACCATTAGTTTCAGTTCCATTATCATATGTTCGTTGACGGTGCTTACGAAGGCTGCACCTCCATCGCATAGAAAGGACCCTCGCCGTCAGTCAGCGGGCGGGGAGCCGCGCCCGCCGTGCCGGTGGGTGCATCCAGCGATACCTCCCGCTTTCCCAGTCGGATGCGACTGTCGTAATTCTCGAGTGTCCGTCTAGCTTGAATACCGTCCACGCCCCATTCTTCTAGTTTCGAGACCAAGTCCGCGACGGATGTAGCACTGGTGACATTGCACCCGTGATCACGGGCCTTCTGCAGGCGATCGATGTCTCCTGCGTTCGGGAACAGGGCGGAGACACAGTGCTGGAGTCGTGTTTGCTCGCTGCGGGAGTCAGTTGAGTTGGATTATCCAAGACGAAGGGGCGAACTCACTTGAAGAGGAGGAACCCCCGTCTCCCCTCTTGCTTGGCAAGGTATTGATTGACAATCTCGTCCCCGATGCTTTCGTCGACAAATCTGCGTCCGCCCTGGTTGATAAGGAGACAGTACTTGCTCTCTGGTCATGTCAGCGCCGATCTCTGGTAGTGATGCCGTGGAACGTACGATACTGCGCCAGCGCCAGGAACTCCTTCGGGTCCACATCCTCAGCCCGCAACGGCGCAGCCAGGAGATGGCCGTAGTAGGTGCCCATTCCCGGGCTTGTGCCTGCACCTGCCGCTGACGCCAGGACAAGTCCATCGCCCACGGACCCTTTGTTTGATCGCACGAAGATGTTGTCTCCCTCGGGACCCAGATGCGTAGACGTCAGTTGTGCAGAGCCCTGGAATCCACCCGTCGCCAAAACAACCATCTTCGCTGTTACTTTGCAGTGTTGTGTATCCTCGTCCCGCGGGCCACTTGTGCGAATGATCGCTCCGACAAGGCGGGACCCCGCCACGCCGGGGTGCTCTTGCAGGAGCTGCACCACGGAGGTGTTGGTCAGGATCCTGGACTGAGTGTGGCTGTCGCGGATGCGCTGTTGGTGGTATCGGTGGAGATGCGGGATGTTGATCGGGAACCCGATGCCTACAGTCGGCAGAATTGTTAGGGTTTTGTTTTGAATGCTGGAGGGAGGCAAAAGAAGGCCTGACCGATCGTCATGATTCCGTCGAACCGTTGCGACGTCGGAACCCCGTTCACACGCATCCACTGCACTGCGCGAAGATAGTCCGCGAGCCATGCTTTTTGTAAAGCAGGATCGCCTTCGGGAACCCAGGCGCGCAGGCTCTCGTAGCTGCGTGGTCCCCAGCTGGGATTTGGCTGTTAGTGGTCACGAGCGGAAGACTTCTGACAAGGGTGGATGCGCTCACAACATGCCGGCGGAGTAGTTGGAGGATCCCCCGACGGTGGCCTGCTTCTCGACCACCAGCACTCGAGCACCGGCGGAGGCGGCGAAGGCAGCGCAGGCTAGCCCGGACATTCCTGCTCCGCATACTAGTACGTCCACTTCGACTGAGCTCATGGTGCTGTGAGGCGTATGCATCTTGCTATAAAGCATAAAGAGAGACTCGTGGGGGGAAATCGAGGTGAGGATGGTTGTAAAGTGAAGTTATAAATGCCTCTCCAGCTTGCATTGTATAGAAGCCTCCGGCCACTAAAACAAAGGACCGGTCCCGTGCCCGCCCGGCCACTGACTTGGGAATATCGCCGGCAGTCTTCCCTCTTCCCCACATCTTCCCCTCATCGTCATCAACCGGCGCCACCAGACATTGATTTACTTTGCTTCGGCTGTTAATTCTAATATCTGGTCTATGCGCGTCGTCGTACAAGCATTTCACCTGGTTCTCGAACAGAATGGCGCCCACCAACGCCGGCGAAAGTTCAACCGTCCGGCGCTCTACCCGGCTCGTGGCGCCATCGGCGTGCGAGGCATGCAGGAAACTTAAGGTCGGTCTCATCAATTCAACACATGACCACTTGATCCTAACGGGATAATGAGTCAGATGCGGTGCACTCGGACCAATACTCTCGACAACTCATCGTGCGATCGCTGCGTGCGCAACCATCGCCCCTGCCGGATTCCTCCAGCGCGGCCTCTGGGACGCAGACCCGGGGCGGTGGGCCGCTTTCAAGGCATCGAGAAAGCATACCGCAAAATCCAGGCAGAACTCAAGAAGGGACCGGCCTCGATGCCTAAGGCTGCCACGCCAAACAACACCCAGTTATCGAGCCCCAGCGTATGCGAGCCGGATGGTGGGCCCATTTCGGCCAGTCCCTTGAATGACTCCTCCCAGATTCCCTCGGAGGGTGTCCCGGATGGCCCCTCCCAACCCATCAGCAATCCCCTTGCGTTGCTTGCGGACGCATCTGAAGCTGTGCACGCGAATGCCTCTCAAGCATCAAAGGACAATACCCACGAAGGAAGAGGGGGGGATCTACTATCTCGTCCCGGATGTTTCTCGTTGGGTCTTCAGCTCAGTCGAGAGAGTCTGGAAATTGGTCTAGACGCGCTCTTTGCTACCTCATTCAAGCCTAGGCGAAGCTCAGACTACTTCAAACCGCCCGATCCCAGCGCTTTTCGGGATGTTGGACCTGATCTTGATCCAGTTGATCTAGGATTGGTGACCGTGGAAGAAGCCCACTTTCTCTTTCCGATGTCGGTATCGTGTAGCGCTTCAACTGCGATAGGAGGCTGACACGACATAGTTACTTTGCTCGACTGCACCCTGTCAACGGCATCTTGGATCCCTTACTGCACACCCCGGAATACGTCCGGTCGCGGTCCGCTCTCCTCTTCACCTGGATCCTGGCTCTTACCGCGCAGTTCGCAAGCACTCAGTCCTCATTAGCAAAGCGACTGCAATTACACGGGGAGAAGCTTTCCCGACACGTGCACACCTGTGGATTGAAATCGGTCGAGATCGTCCAGGGGTATTACATTTCCTTACTGTCCGCGACCCCAGCGAAAACGTTAGCCGAGGAGAGAACTTGGCTCTACACCATGTATGCATTTGGGACCGCCGCTGAACTTGGGTTAGATCAGCACTCGAGGTCGCGCGGAGGGGTCTTGGTGACATCCGATGAAGAACAAGCTCCCCATGATGTTGAGGTTCACCTTGAAAAGCAAGACCTACGATTCCCATCGGCTGTTGGCAATGAAGATCACACTGAGAGCACAAATTGCCAACGGCTTACCAGAAATCGAGAACGCACTTGGTTTCGGATACTACTCTGGGAGCGAGCAAACAGCGCTGCGCGTGGCCGCATCAACCCTATTCCTGACACGAAGCTCATCGCGGGCATTGACACCTGGTGGAAACATCCGGCAGCTGATGCAGCCGATAAGCATACGTGTGCTTTTATCCTGCTGCGCCGGCATTTGGCTTCAATTCATGCCGAATTGCAAGCGCAGGCTGCCGCTCCGCCGGACGATCCGCACTGGATGAAAAGACTCGTCGATGAGAGGCTTGAGGGGTGGTGTGATGAGTGGCTTCCCGTTCCATACAATGTCCCCGAACAGTCCGAGCAACTTGCCTCGATATTCCTCTATTATGTGTACTTGCACAATCGACTTTGGATTCTGTCATTTGCTCTTCAAGCGTCGGAGAGCCGTAACGGCAATAGACACATCGAGGCCATCCGACAGGACTGCCTTCAAGCGGCGGTTCATACCTGCGAGGTTGCAGTCCGCGACCTGCAAATGGTCGGCGAGCCTTTGTATTGCATGCTCGCACCCACTTGGGCGATGATCTCCTACGCTGCAGTCCTAGCATTGAAGCTTTTTCCTCAGGTGCATGGTACCCAACCGGGAGGGGATATCGAGCTGCTCGCTCTTTTATCGCAGGTCTCCTTGCAGCTGGAGCGCGCCGGGACCACGCCGCCCCATCGCTTTGGTATCGCGGCTTTACTGGGAGAGCACCTCCTGGGAATTCTGCGGACTAAGGCTGCATCGGCGAAGGGTGCTCAGCACAGGGCGGTAGAACTTTCCCTGCCAAGCTCGGGCAATCTGGCTATCTATAATGCGCAAGAATCAGTCTCCGACCCCTGGTTCACAGACGCCTCAGCAGCGATGAGCTACGACTTGACTGGTGATAGTTTCGGTGATTTGTTTCGGGAGATATTTGGTCCAGGCTTTGCCGATTCGTTCTAATCGCATCCCTGGCGATGAGCGGGTAACACCGAAACACCTGGGAAAAAGCCTGTTCAGACACATGTGCAGATGATAAAGGTCCGAATCAAGGCACAATGGATACCTCACGCATCCACCGCATTTATAGAGTGCCACATCCTGCTACAATCATGCTCTGACGGATCTATCTCGTGGTTGGCTGCAATTAAGTTTGATTGAGCAGGTTTCAAGTGCGTATTTAAGTTTTCGAACCCTGTATACTTACTAGCACTTCAACTAACAGATTATATAGGATGAGCAGGTTGACTAGTACCTGTCGGGCCTCGAAATCACGGTGGTTGGCAAGGTTTTCGCGCGTGATATATTGATTCCAATTCAAGAGTTATGTGTACGATGAGCAAGATCGACACAAACCTCGGCTGAGAAAATCAATTCCTTACCTGTTGCCCCTCAGGTGTCAGCACCCAAGGGATGAACTCGGGTGCAAAGCCATCTTCTGTCACCCCATTCCCAAAGCTCGCATACTTCTGTGTCGGATTCTCGAAACGGAGGTCAAAATCCTCCTAACGAACGATTTCTGTGGCGGCATAGTAATGGTGGTTTGTTCCCGGCCATGGAACCACTACTCGCCCTTCTTTGTTCTTGTCTACTGATGCATTAACAACGGAGACCTCCTTCGAAGAAAAGAGCTATACCTACACCATGAGCTGCATGGATCAGACCACGACATGTGAGGCATGCGGGACTGAGCCCAGCGGACAGATTGGTGCTGCGCTTCGGGCTTGACACTAACTGATCGGAGACAGTCAGTCTGCAGTCGCGTCAGGATCCGGATGATGTAGTCGGACGTCCGTTTGATGCCTGGGATGACAGAGCCGTTCACAGGGCAATGAGGTGGATGGAAAGCTGCAGTGCTTGCGAATCAGCCAAGGATTGACCCTTTGCAGGAATTCGGAAAATATGAGGCCAAACGAACCAAAGAGATTGGGAAATCCAGCCACCATGCTTGCCATGTAGCTCTCACAGTCGCCTTGTGGACCCCAGCAATCATTCAAGCTAATTCCATCTCGTCCGATAACTGGGAAGCGGGAGGCGTAGGGCTCAAAGCCCGTGACGCAAACGACAAGATCGCAATCGTACTCCTCTCCTGAGCACGTCCGCACGCCAGTCTCAGTCAGGCTAGCGACATGATCCTGAACTAGATGCACATGCGGCTGCTGCATGGCCTCGATGTACGAATCGCCGATGGTCCACCGCCGACACGCTGGGGCAAAGTCTGGCTGGAGCATTCTTCGGAGGCTCGGATCCTGGATTTTGTGATCGTAGTAAGACTCCACCCGTGCTCGCATTTCGTGATGTGCTGGGGTATTCTTCCACAGCACACGGAAAGCGGATGCGATCTGCCGCTCGAGCTGGGTGCGATACTTGTGATACAAGTCGGGGTTATTCGTAAACTCAAGCTTCTCTTCCTCCGTGACTGGAATGATTGTTGAGACGGGTTTCGTTCTGTGAAGGAGTCCTTACATACACCTTTTATTCTCGTCGAAAAGCCCAGGACCAGCCCACGTTTGGCTTCGACAGAAGTTGATCAGCTCTGCAGCGTCTGCGCCTTTCGATCAGCGATCGCATAGCAAGGTTCAAACTAAGGGAAGGACTTACCATACTGCAGGGCACCGACGCATTGCATTCCACTGGAGCCGTTTCCCAGAACAGCAACTCGTTTTCCCGACACTACTAGGCCCTTTGGCCAACACGCTGTATGGCAAATATCGCCGCGAAATCCAGCCCTCCCGTGAAAGTCTGGGAGTTTGTAATTATTCAGCCGTCCAACAGCATAGACTAAGACATCCGCCTCGACGACGGTCTCTTCCTGGGTAGTCTCATGCTTGAACGTGGTGATCCAGGACGAGGTTCTCTCATCCCATGTCGCAGACACGCATCGTTGTTGAAGCCGAATGTACTTCGCCAGCCCATGGTCGGCAATCACCGAGTCTAAATAGGCGCATATCTCAGGCGCGGAGGCATATAGCGTGGACCAGCGGGGATTTGGCGCCCAACTATAATGATACCCATGGGATGGAACATCGCAGGCGCACCTAATAACAGTTACTGTGGTGTTATGACTGCTGTAATAGGCAAGATATTCGCATGGCAGGCGGATCGTACCCTGGGTACCGATTCTCGAACCAGGTGCCCCCGGCGCCTTCGTTCTTGTCATAGATCTTCAGATCTATGTTTCTCATTCGTGAGGTGAGATCGTGCGCTATTTCGATTCCGGATATTCTGTTTCAAGACATGGAGTCAACGGTTGATCTGAAATGCGAGATACCCAGGAAAGGATAGAACCTACCCGGCGCCAATAACAACTACTCTCAATCGACGGGGCATAAAAGCCGTTGGACTTGCAGTCCCATGTGTCATTTCCCAAAGAGTCGTATGGTATCTGGTTTCTAGCAGGTTCGTAATTGCTAATATGTTGTTGAGTTGAGATAGAATGAACCATCTCTGGCAATGCAGTTCTCTAAGCTCGAACGATCCATAGATTATGCGATGAACTCAAATTCGACTTGAATCATAGTGGATGATTTCATGAGTCTTCCTTGTCTCCACGAGGCCATTTTTGGTCGGACGTCAACAACAGAAACGGCTGCAAGCTTAAAGTAAGTGCGAAGATAAACTCTATTACTTCATCACCTGTATTTATTCACATCTGTTCCCTGCTAAAAGTCAACGAAGCTCAGCGCCTTGATCATACTCAACTTTAGTTCTACCATGCAACAGAAGACTTGCCGATTCTCGGGCTGAAGCGAGGCGGGTAGCAGTCTTCTTCCACCTGCCAGAGGTTCTTCTGCCCCGCTTGCTTCAATGCTGTTCGATATAGGGCGGAAAGCGTAAGAGGTTGTTGCTGTTACTCCAACACGACGGGGCCTGGATCCTGCCTTCTCCTGCATACGGCCAGTTTCTCGGTGACAGCGGCCTTTCAGCATGCTTCGATTCCTGGATCCAGACAATATCTCTTCATCCAGATTCGCAGATCACTTGGTCAGAGCCCCACAATTATTTGTACCTCATCGAGAACGACCGCGACTGTCGTCAAGATGCCTTGACAACCCACTGGTGCGCGCCTTCAATGGTGGATATTCGAGCAATCACGATGCCAGAGCGATAATATCCTGACTAATGGTCTATCCAACAGTGCTGTCGATCTTCGCTTGCTATGTATCATTCGCATACTACATCCGAAGTGACGTAAGAGTGGATGTGGTTTTGTCCTTGGCAGGTTGATGGCTCAGATGCCTGGATGATGTGAATGAACTCGGACATACAAAAGGCCTGGATATACCTCCGGACTTTTGCCCTCCGTCTAGCTTGAATATCCAGTTCCCTGCACGGGGTGCCATCCTACATAAGCACTACTGTCCCTGCATGGTCTGGGTGATTTACTACGGCTATGCGATCGCATCCCATCGCTCGTTCTGTTCCTCCAGTGGTGCGGATGCTGAGCAGCAAAGCGGCTTGCCTCTGATATTACGAGTCGTGCGAATCGCTGTTCTGCTCTCTGATTCACCGCGGGCTGCGACTAATTTCACGAAGGATGTTTTTCTACTCAAATGTGCGGTAGAAGCAGCCCCATGCTTGAAGCTGATAAGGTGAAGGGGGTTGCCGAGGGAGGGGAGGGAGGCGTATCTTGCGCGACACTAAATTCCGATCCCACGACGATGTCCCTCGTCTAGGATGGGGAAAGCAGTCGATCATTGCCCTAATTCAGAAGTTATTATCTCCCTTTCATTCGTCTGAGTGGATGCAATCCCTGGCAAATCCGCGATGCAGAAGAAAAGCATGGGCGGAACCCGGATCACCTGCCTATACAAGCCCTGACTTCACCCGCCTGGATCCCCCTTTTATGGCTCTTATACTTTCTCTATCTCATTTCCTTCATATCGAGCTGATAGCTGGTTGGCACGATGTTCCGACCGGCGGATCCAGCGCTCATCGTGATTTCTGAATCAGAGCCAGTCACAGCAGGTCTGTTTTTGGATCATCGGGTGCTCCGACTCAACTGACGGAACAAGGAGCGAAGTCCGACGAGTTGGATCGAGGAAGCACTGGTCAGTTGAGATATTGACCGCAATCGTGCCCCTGGTTGTGATAGCGGAAGCACGAATGAAGTTTTTCTTGACCCATCTCCCCCACTCTTGAAGAAATTTACAGTGGAACGCGATCAACCCACGAACGGCGATCCGCATGCTAAGCACTACTGACAGAAAAGCTTTGCGAGGGAGCAACACCGACCGGAACATCAATGGCATTCATGCCATGGTTGATGGAAAGAGGTTTTGGGATATGTCTGGTGGCAAATGGAGAGATAGCATACAAAAGCAATGCAAGAGACGACAACGACCGGGAAATTTGTGCAGATAAATGCATAAACGGAAGCGGACCGGCATAAGTTGATTGATGCCTGCGATCTGAGCTCGGATTTACCCCCAGTGGAAGAAGCTGCATAAGCGAAGTGTCTAGCAGTGATTAGGAGCGAGCTTAGCGTGTTCTACGAGTGGATTCCCTGAAGGCGAAGGAGAACCAAGCATTTGTTTTCCGACGCCACCCACGCACACGCATCCACCCACTGCCATTCACCACTCACCACTCACCCTTCGTCACAATCACTTGGGAAAAAACAGCTTTGGTGAACATAGACCTGGTAATGTTCCTGAATATCGTGCCTCTGAACAGAAATCAGTATCCATCCATGGATTGACAGACAACGGCTTGTTCATCCATTGACAAAAAGAGTCGGATAACACGGATCCTGGATCCCTCAGAATTTGCACATCCAATAACAGACCCGCGATCGGATGTTGATTGGAACCACTCCGACGTCATTGGAGACACACCGATGGAGTTGAGATTCAGGGCACAAGCCATTCACAGCCCATGCACTGGTTCTCGGTGCACTGCACTCCTCAGGAACTCCCGAGATTCTGTTTTCCGAGGGGCCGCCGAAGAATCCCTCCGACCCACTGGACAATGGGACACTTACGCCAGCACAGGCCCTAAACTCCTCTCCGCCTCGACGATCTCTCGCATCCCATCTCCCAATCCCAGTCCATCCTCCCATCTGCTCCATCCACCCACCAAACATGGCGTCATGGAACAATGGCTTGCGACCGGTGGATATCATGTTTAGGCAGGCCCTCCCCTTCACCGCGGGTCTGCTGGAGGCTTTGTTGTTGCTTAACCTTTCTTCCCCCCCCCTTTTTTTTTGCCACTCTTCTCCCATCTCAGTAAACCATCAACAAACCCGTTAATTCTTTATCAGTTGCAGGGAGAGCTGGAATTCCTCCCGCTTGACGTGAATCATATTCAGAAGTTTGGCCAACATGAGCGACGCAGACGCCGGACGCGACGCTGAACGCGACTCCGGACGTCCCCGGGCCAGGGTAAGTGCCTCCGAACAACTCGCTGTCCACAGAAAGTGAAGCTGAACTTGGACTTTCTGCGCAACGATAGTCCGACGTGGATCGAGTCCGCGAAGAAGCGACCGGGGCATCCTCGCCCCCTATCTCGCCAGCCGGCCGCGGTCGCCGTGGCACCATGGACTCCGATTTCTTGTCTCCAACCCGTCGCGCCTCCGGTCGTGACGGCGAGCTGGGATCTGGCGTGCGTCGTCGCAGCTCGGCCGCCTCTCGCCGGAGCGGACGCAGCGGTGGCATCCCCAGTCTGGCTCCGCGGACGACACTAGCCCAGCGGACGCAGGGCAAGTTCACCGTGGCCGGGCCGGACGACACGCCGCAGCTGCGCCTGGCGCACGAGCCCTTTGTGCAGCCGGGCTACGGTGACCTGAATCCAGCCTACGAGCAACCCGTGAATGCGCGACCAGTCTGGGGTCTGGCTAAACCCTTGCCTCGCGTGGTGCGGTCGGGCATGGTACCCACCAAGGAGGAACTGCTTGAAGCCCGCCAGAACGCCCAGTTGCCGGCGGAGAACTCCCAAAAGTATGGATTGGAAGTCGACCCAAACGACCTGGAGCAGGGCCAGATCGAAAAGACCACTGACCCGCGCCTGATGGCAGCCCAGGTCGAAGACGCGCGTCTGCAGCGCGAGGCCAACTTCATGAACAAACTCCTGTCGGGCGACACCACCTCCATCCGCGGCTCCCGCATGTCTCGCACCTCGTCCACCCGTCGTCGTCGGTCCTCCGCCGTAGGGTGGGAGGAGCAGCTGTCGACGGTGGCCGAGGGCGAGACGCCAGCCACCAGCATTCACGGGGGCGACGACGAGGAGACCGAGGGTCCCTCAGCAACGGCCCCGCCGCACCGCGGGAGCAACGACCATCGCCCGAGCGATGTTCCCCTGCAGCCAGTCCCGGAGGAGCCGGAATGGCACGGCGACGACGACACAGCCGGGGGCTCTCCGAATCTCGAGGAGGAGCTGAAGGAAGGGCTGGACGACCTGTCAGCCCTGGAGGACCCAGCCCTGCCGGAGGATCTTCACCCGCTCGTGCAGGAGCTGGTCGAGGACGAGGTTCACAACAACCACACGACCTGGTCGGTGATCCGGACGCACCACCGCGAGGCGCTGGCGGAGGCACTGGGCGTTTTCGTGCAGCTGTTCGTCGGCTTCTGTGCTGACCTGGCTGTCACCTGCGCTGACGCGGGCAACCCCAACACGACGGACTGGGCCTGGGGCTTTGCGACCATGATGGCCATCTACGTGTCCGGTGGTATCTCCGGTGCGCACTTCAACCCGGCCATCACCATCATGCTGTGGTTCTACCGTGGTTTCCCCAAACGCCTGATGCCCGAGTACTTCGCCGCGCAGTTTTTGGCGGCCTTCATTGCAGCGCTCTGCGCCTACGGTCTCTACTACGAGTCGATCCACGAGTACCTGGCCTCGAACGCCACCTCGGGCGTCGTCAACAGCTTCGTCACGAACCAGCGATACAGCTGGATCGGCGGGGCGACAGCCTTCTTCAACGAGTTCTTGGGCACTACGATCCTGGTCATCGTCGTGCTCGCGCTGGGAGACGACCAGAACGCGCCGCCGGGTGCCGGTATGAACTCGCTGATCGTGGGTCTGATGATCATGAACCTGAGTGTGGCGTTCGCCTACCAGACGGGGGCGGCCTTCAACCCGAGCCGTGACTTCGGGCCCCGACTCGCGCTGCTGGCCCTGGGCTACGGCAGCGACCTGTTCACCAACGCGTACTGGTTCTACGGGCCCTGGGTGGGGGCGATTGGCGGGGCGATGATGGGCGGCTTCCTGTACGACTTCTTCATCTTCACGGGTGGCGAGTCGCCGGTCAACTACCCATGGGAGCGGACCGAGCGGGCGATGCGCAAGAGCAAGATGAAGTGGAAGCGGCGGTTGCATCTGTCCAAGGAGGAGACGGAGAAGAGCTAAGCTCTGTTGAGCATCTGTGGCTTATATCTATAGACGAGCTGTGGGATGTTGTAGATATTGTATAGTGTTGTGTGGACGCGTTTGTTTGTTTGTTTGTGGGTGCACCAGCACCATGGTCGGTTGTTCATTTAGCCTGATTACATCTTAGATTGAATCTTGATGCGCCAGACCCTGAGGATCGTGGCTTAGTGGGTCTGTTATAGCATTATTCCGTGTGTTATGCTTCAGCTTAATCCCGGTCTAAGAGCCTTGCTTTTTCGAACACACTTTCCTCCGTCCGGGTGTAATCCGCCACCAAACTGTAATTCAAGATATAGTACTCCGTACCAAGACTGTACCAAGAATCCGCTGGGTCAAGCAATCCCATAGTGCGGTTGCATACTTGCTTCCCGCCGACATCCATGATTTAAGCGTGGCAACCCTAAGTTGGATGATTCCCACCCTACCATTTCCACCACATGGACATATTTAGCAACAAACGGAGCCACCTCGTGGCAGTCTGTTCCCCGAACCAGCACTGCAGCTTAACGGACCTGCTAACGGTTTCAGTTTGCGCAGGAAAGAAAAACCGGGTTCCAAGTTGGCCGCGCCGCAGAAATCGGACGATGAAGTCACGGGACCCACTTCGACCCTGAGGCCGACCGTGACGTCACGCTTTTATCTCTCTATCAACCGTTCAACACCTTTCTTCCACCATCCTTCATCATGACGCTTTTTCAACGGCGGCCAGCAAGATTGTGGTGCTTGGCGTCGGCTCGGTTCTCCCGGCGAGGAGGAAGAGGAGGGAAGGCGAGATGCACGACTTCAGCCTGATCAACATCGTCTCCGGGTAAATTCTCTCCTACACCACCAACCAACCACCAACCACCACCGCCATCAACGGCAATCATATACCCGAATCGCAACAACAACAACAATACCAAGTTCAATGGAAACCGACGAGCCGCATCTCTCCCCGCTGCGGCGGTTCACCTCAGCCGTGCGCTGGAGCTGGTACGCGATCTCGCTAAGCTGGGGCGGGATTGCGGTGCTGCTGCACCAGACCCCGCACCAATTCACGGGGCTCATCACCATCGGCACGATCGTCTTCATCGCCAACCTGGTCATCTACGCCCTGATCACGGGGTCCTTCATCTTCGAGGCGCTCAGCCCCAGCCCGAGGCCCGGCAAGGCCGCCGCCGCCGCGTCGGGGCCCCCGGACTTCCGCACGCGCTGGCTGCACATCCAGCAGCTGACGGACCTGTACTTCATCCCGATCTCGCTGCTGGCCTTCGCCGCGATCCTGTTCGGGGTCTCCTACTACGGCACGCCGCACTGCGGCCGGTGGCTGATCCTGACGCTGCACGCGCTGTTCTGGGTGTACACGGCCGTCTCCCTGGTCCTCTGTGTGGTGCTGTCGTGGGTCATCCCGCACACGCACACCACCCCCGAGAAGCACTACCCGATCGTGCAGATCCTGCCCTTCTTCCCGCCGATGCTCAGCGGCACGATGGCGGGCATCCTCGCGCCCCACCAGCCCGCCAACCTGGCCCGGCCCATGCTCGTCGGCGGCACCACGATGCAGGGCCTCGGCATCCTGATGTTCTTCGTCGTGCTCGCGCAGACGGCGCACACCCTCACGCGCAGCGGCCTGCCGGAGGGGAAATTCCGGCCCGAGATGTTCATCGCGGTGGGCCCGCCGTGCTTCACCATCATCGCGTGGTACGGCATGGCCTCCGCGGCGCTCGAGAAGCTGCCGGACTATTACCTCAGCAAGGCGAGCAGCGTACACACGGCCGATGTGCTGTATATCCTGGCGGTCGCGGCGGGCGTCAGTCTGTGGGTGCTGGCGTTCGTGCAGTTCTGGCTCGCCGTGCTGAGTATGGTCGACGCGATGGTCCGCGGGCTGATCGCGTACGAGCTGAACTGGTGGTGTATGGTCTTCCCCTTGACGGGGTTCGTCCTGTGTACGTGCAATCTGGGCCAGGCGTTGAATTCCCCGGCCATTCTGTGGGTGGGCTCCGCCATGACCATCGGGCAGGTCGCGCTGTGGTTGGTGATTTGTGGGTGTCAGATTGTGGTTTGGGTGCGACGCGGGTGGTAGTTTGGTTTCTTTCCTGGCTCGGGAGATAGAGTTGTTGTGGTTGGGTGTATAAAATTTGGTTTCTCTGGGTTTAGCGAGGTTTGATATATCTGCATTTCGCTTTCGCATTAGATTGAGCTAGAGGGGTGGTTAATGCCATTCGTGCTAGATGTGCATAGCATATAGTGCAGGCATAATTGGGTGAAAATATCACGGAGCACGGAGGAGCGGCAGGTGTGTAGCTGGCTGAACCTGAGGCTGACATATTGAACTCTCTCCGGTGCTCACCGGATCGTCCATCCCCGGAGTGTTGAGTTCAGGCGGCTGGTTTTGACTTGGGGCGGAAGATCCAAGATAAGATCATGGCCTAGAAGGTAGATAAATTGCCTCCGCCGAGATCTGGGAAGCGCCAGCATTGGCTGGAACCGTAGCGACTTTGAATCAGGGTCGATGGAATGATGTCGACAGGCCGCAAAACAAATGCTACGGACATTTAGGAGATTCTCAGGAGGGGAAATGATTCGTTTCAAGTTTCTGGAATCAGTTCACAGAGTCTGCTTTGTATGTCGGATTAGTTAGCTGTAAGTGTAAGCATCATGGTAATCAATCAAATGACGTATGTCTTCTGCATAAGTACCAAAGGATCTCGATGAGCGTGCCTGCAAGAATATATTCGAACATAGATACATGTTGAAGATAATGTTCGGCGGACCAGCTGGGCTGCTCGCTCGGCCAACAGTCACATTGGCTTGATATGCTATCTTCAGTAATCCGTTCAATCGGTTCTAAGGAATGGATCCTCTTTAATTATGGTTACTTTTTCACGGGTTCAGGGAGTATCCAGTAGGCATACACCAAGCCTCTGAGCCCATGCTGAGTGGGCCACACAGACGAGTACATATAACCCCGTCTTGATTCCAATCCCCCCACCCCGCCTGCGCACTTTCTCCCCCGCTCGACGGGGTAAGCAGTCTGCCGTCTGCCTCTGGAGGCTAACCGCGAATCGGATCCTCAGGGACAGACAATAAATATTACTACCTAGCACTCAGCTGCCCCCTCATCTGAGGGGGGCTTATCGAGAATGCGGCTCAGCGCCTCGCTTGCTACGGAGCACAGACAGCCACGAGCTCCCTCCTGCCTATTCTTCTGTCACGGACTGGACAGGACGCGTGTGACAGTCGACGCTAATGCGGCCGTGCATACGCCCCATGCGCACCGAGTGCCCAAGGAGCTAGGATCTGACTCGCTTGCTTGTGGCTCACGAACATACCCCCGTCCGTCGTCCAATGCAGACCGTGTTAACCCCTGGCCCGCCTTTTTCTCGCTTACACGACAAGGTAGTGCAGTGCAAGAGTCGTCTCGTGCACAATCACTCTCTAGCCTTAAGCTGGTTAGGGTATTTAAGCCGCTACCCCGCCGGCGTGGCTGGGGATCGAAAGTTCGTGCACGGTGAATGTATCGATCGCAGCTCTGTAGCATTCATACTTCTTACGGATTGCTGGTTTTCGAGTCGCCATTGGAGATCGTCTCTCCCCGAACCGAGTAAAGAATGTGTTTACCCGGTATCTGCGACCCCTTCGACCTCGAAGACTGCTGCGGCGGCTCCGGCACGGCCGCGCCCCCGGCCAGACAGCGACCGGTCCAGCAGTTCCAGTCTTCAACCCGCCAGCAGCGAGCGGGAGTGCCGGTAAGACGAACACACTCGTTATGTACCTTCGACTGACGCTACGGAATTACCGTCGTCAGGCCGCCGCCGCCGCCGCCGCCGCCCGCGCACCAAGGCCCACGCAAGGCCAAGGCCAAGGCCAACAGATGCAGTATGCCGCGGAACCCCAGAGCGTCCGATTCCTGTGGCAGGCCCGGGGCTATCTGTGCGGGCCCAGGGGGGGCAGGGATACATTGCCCACCGTCAACGTGAGCAAGACGCCGCGCGGGGCGATCGTCTTGGCCGGTGTCCCCAGGGGATTACCCAGCATTCAACCCTATGAGCAGGGCCAATTGGTGAGCGGGTATCTTAGGAACGTCACCAACAGCTATTCGTTCTCCAATGCGAAATACTACCGCACCAAGCAGGGTCTGGTGATCTTGCAGGGGGCGCAGTTCCGGGCATTGTAGCCGGGATTGCCAAGTTGATGTCATGGAGGGCTTTGTCGGTGAAAAGTGGAGATAGGTGCTGAAATCGAGGTTTGGCTGCTGCCGCAATGCTTGGCCCTGCTGCAGATGGGTTGACTTGGCACTGTATATCTGTTACGTAGTATCGTGGGAGTGTTGTTTGAGTGTGTAGATCTCAAAACCTGAATTATGTCTGCAATATATACCAGACCATAGTACTACGAGGTCCTCAGTTCCAAAGCCTTCATGTTATCCTACCATATATAATAAGGTCAGTTTCTGTAGTATAGTTGTAATCAACATTGAAGACTTATTTCTTTGCGTTGTTGAGTTCGGTGCAGTAATAAAGAAGATTCATTGGCCTCCTACGGTGCCCAGGTGCCTTCACAAGCCAAGTGTAAGCTGGTAGTCATCTCTCTGACTCCTTACCTTCCAGCTACCCATACTACTCCCTCTATGAACGATACCTAAAGCTATTCTGCCAATAGACGCGCAAACTGTAATTAATTCGCCATAGCTCACCCTCTTCCTATAGGTCTACTTCGACGTTCTCAAGACACCCACCAAACACCCCAAGCCTACTCAATCCACACCAACGACCGCTTCACTCCCTCCCCAGCTACAAGACCGCAACCACCTCCTCCCTCAGCCCCGACGCAGTCGACCCCGTCGCCACGAGCACGCGCCTGCCCTCGCCATCCTCCCTCCACTTCAACGGCCCCTCCGGCAGCACCACCGCCCTCTCCTTCCCCAGAACCTCCAGCAACCCCGCATCCAAATCCGCCCGCATCCCATGCACCACCTCGAACCCCCCGCCAAACTGCCGCGGAATACTCTCGTGCTCCACCAGCCCCGCCAACGCAGGGAGCACCTGGCCCTCCGTCAGGATCACCAGCTTAGCGGCGGTGACGGGATCGACGAATTTCTTCATCACGCCCCAGATCGTGCTGAAGTAGCTGGGGGCGTTGCACACCTATGCCCGGTTAGCGTCGCCACGAGAGCCCTAAGTAATCCCACCCGCTGCCGCATACATGCCGCATACATGCCACAACAAGCGTAGGACCTCTACCCCGCAACCGGAACCAAGGGGAAAGAAAACCTACAAAAATCGTCTCAATCGTCTCCGGGTAACACGTCGCGAGGATCCAACTGATCTCCCTCGCGAAATCCCGCAGCGTCCACGCCTGCTTGAGGCTGAGCGCCGTCGCGTCGACGAGGTAGATGCTTTTGGTCACGGGCGTGGCGGCGGCGGCGCCGCACAGCGGGAGGATGAAGCGCGTGAGCGTGTCGAAGAAGGCGCAGGCGCGCTGCGCCATGTCCGGGGCGTTCTGGTCGGTCGGCGAGCGCGTGCGGCGCCAGTGAGCCACGGCGTCGGCGTGGAGGTGCGCCACGTCGAGGAAGAGGATGGGGAGGGAGGTGCGCGTGCGTCGGCCGGTCCAGTGCGGGTACTTTTTGCGTCTTGTTAGTGTGGTTTTGGGGGGGAGGGGG